TATTTCGAATATTTAGAGGAAGATTGTAAAGTTTAGGAGAGAGAAAAAAATTGGTAGGGTTGAGGTATGAAGAAAATATAGAATAATGAAGAAAAAATAATTTATTGAATTTAGGTATAATGTTTATAAAGTTCAAAAGGGAGAAAAAATAGAGTCTAAATATAGAGATAAAATATTTAGAGTTGATAGAAAGAAAATTTTGAAATATTGAGGTTGATGGCTGAATTTTAACTATTTATATTTGAGCAGGAAAAGTCTACAAAAATCCTAAATTTAAAAAGTCTCCAAAAATTCATAACTTTTTGAATACCGCATAACTTTTAAAAACTCTTTAAAAGTCTTAATTGAATACCACTTGACTTTTAAAAATTTTTTAAAAATCTGAATTGAATACAACCTGACTTTTAAAGACTCCCTAAAAGTTCAAATTGAATAATTCCAAACTTTTAAAGTTTATAAAAGTCATTAAAACTCTATAAAAGTCATAATTGAATATACCGCTTTTAACTTCCTCTCGCACATGCATAAGACGCATTTTGCTTCTATCATTTGAACATGACAGGAACATTATTATTATTATTCTGTTAAAAGGTAACTGGACTATCTGGATATATAGATTTAATAAGTTAATTAAGATCCCCCAAAATTAAAAATAAAAAATAAAAAATAAAAATTCACCTCTTCTCAGCCTCTCCTTTCTTGTGTCTGCAATTGACCCAATATATCGTTGAATTCAACTGAAAATGTGGATGATCTGATATTTATAGCCTCGATAATCTCATCGAGTTTCATCCTCGCTCTAGCTCTAACTCCAATCCTCTTCTCCTCTCCTCTCCTCTCCTCTTATCTCTCTCCTCCTCCAGAGAAAGAGAGAGAGAGAGAGAAAATAATTATGGAGTACGGATACATGGATTGGAGCAAATTTGATCGCCGGCGCTGTCCTAACAACAAGCCGCCGTTGCGCAGTCGTCGAGTGGATTACCACGAAGAGAAATCGGGTCCAGAACCACCGAGGCCGGCGGCGTCGTCTAGGGCGTGGTACTCCACACCGGAGCTGAAGAGGAAGAAGAGAATCGCGAAATATAAATTGTATTCGATTGAAGCCAAAATGAAGGTTTCCTTCAACAAGGGGGTTCGAAGCTTCAAGCGTTCGTGTTCAAGCCTAAATTGCTTCTGATCGATTATATTACTCATCAAATATTTGTCTTGGATGCATATATGCGCGATCGATTCAATCTAAATTATGATGAATTTATCATCTTTAATGTATGTATGTATTTCTCAAAATTTTTACAATTTTTCCTTTGGTTTTTTATTGAATAAAAAAACAAAGAAATTATATATATATATATATATTTTTTATTTTGAAAGAAAGAAATTATTCATTCCTAGCCCGAAAGGTTAAAGCCAATCTGGCAATCTGGCATTCTGGCATAACTTAGCCCGAATGTACTACCAATTTTTCAGACGATATTTGTGTACATATGTTGCGGGTGCAGGTCAAGTTTGTGTACATATGTTGCGGGTGCAGGTCAAGTTTTTTCAGACTTATCCTGCGATTTGATTTGCATCATCCATACACGTTTCTTGGAAATTGAATATACACTAGTGCAAATCATTGACGGATCCAGAAAATTATCTAATATTACAATAATAATGTCCTCAATAATATATATATATATATATATATATATATATATATATATATATATATATATGAATGTATATCAAAACTTAAATATTAAAAAAACTAAATATGTAAATATACACATATGTATATTTGATTATATAAATATATATTAATTTCATTATTATTATTATTATTATTTTATTATTACTAGTAATTCACCCGCGCAATGCACAGAAAAAAATTATGTTATTATAAATATATAAATAAAAAATAGAAAAATTAAAATATTTTAAATTATTTAATATAATAATATTTTTGAGCTTCCATTGGTCAAATATTTATTATTTTTATAGAATACAAAATTACAATTAAAATTAAAATTATAATTTTGTATGGGTAATATAATCTCTAATTATGTGCATATTCAAATAAATTTATAGAGAGAATTTACATAATTAAATTGATTTATTCTTAATTGTATTTCATCTATATTATAATTTTCACAATATGAATAATAACTAAGATAATTACATTTGGAAAGCAAATTTCAAATTTTGTAGGTGTAAATTTAAACTCTAATTGAACACATTTTTTATATGATTATATAATATATAGCTATTTTATTTTTCAAAAGTATATTTTTTATATGATTATATAATATATAGCTATTTTATTTTTTAAATGTTGTGCTTTTTTTTTTTTTTTTTTTTTTTATAATAAAGGATGTTGTTGCATTAATTGTAACATTAAATATTTCCCAAACCATATAGCTTTATTATATAAAGGATTATCTTACATGTTTCTTGGAAATTGAATATACACTGGTGCAAACCATTGACGGATCCAGAAAATCATCTAATGTTAGAAACGTGACAAAATATGACAAAATATAAGGTTAAAATACAAAATACAGGGTCGGAGCCGATAAAATAATTTGAATAATACTATATTCGTAAATATTTTATAATTTTATTTATTTTTTAGTTAGATCAACTTTAAGTTTTTTTTAAATTAATTTAAATACAATGAAGTATAATATAATATAATATAAATTCATATACTACATTAATTAAATGATTCATAAAAATTAGACCAAAAGAGCATTTAATTTGTTAATTAAATGATTCATAGAAAGTAGACTCAAAAAATATTTAATCTATCTTGTGAAGGGATAAAAGAGATAAAATAAAATAGACAAGTGTTGCTAAATGAAATTTGATCATCTCACATAAATTCCATTCGATAGAGGAAAGTATTATAAGTGACCCGTTTCAATAATAGGAACAGTACACATGGAATCCTAGTGGGCTCATCACAAAGCCCATAACTACATCCTTAAAGCTGGTGGAAGAAACAAGAAAGTCCAATAAAAATTTCATTCAATTCGATAGAGGAAAGTATTATAAGTGGCCCGTTTCAAGTGATGTCACATATCGAAGACAATGTTTAGAAGATTCGAGGTCGAATCATTTTCAAGAAGGAGAGGATGATGCGACCCAACATAATGAAGATATATATATATATATATATATATATAAAAGGGGTGGGGGAGGTGGCAGCTGTCCTCATGGTAGAGATGAAAACCCAAAGGCTGCTTCCAAGCTTTATCATATTCATTTTACATTGTAAATCAAATGGGTCTACTGTAAGAATTAATTTTTAATTCACTCATTTTCAAATATACAATATATCAATTTTTTCACTTTACTATGAATGACTCAAATCCACTTTGAGTTGATCCGAACTAAATCGGGAGTGAACCCAATATATTTGTACCACAAAGTACACTCAAAATTGACATTCAGGCTAAAATTTCCAACACACAATACATTGCAGCCAGTTTTTGCCAATATGAAAACTCCATTGTAGCAACACTTGATGTACGATTCTTCCAACCAACGTACTTGAGTTCTTGAGTTCAGAATTAGTTTGATTAAAAATGTAAGTATAACTATACAATGTAATATTTAATATTTTTAAAAGTTTAATTATGCTATTATTATGTTGATTTTAAAGTTTATTGTTACTTGTATTATTATTTGAATTTGAATTATTTATTTTTGAAAGGAATTTAAATTTGAAATAACTACTTTAATTATATAACTAACGTATGTTAAATAAAACTTGTAAATAAAATAACATGCGATATTTGTCGAAAATCTCCACCAAAAACTTATTCATTTGAAAATGATTATTTATGTAAGAACTATATTTATTTTATATATAATTTTCTTTCTTTATATATGTGGAGTCAAATTAATTATAATTGAGGTTTAAATGAATATACACACAAATTATATTAAATATAAAACTTTACCAATAAATTTGAACACAATAAACTTTTTTCCATACTTTATTATGCTTTAATATATATAGAGATAGAGATAGAGCTATAATAATAAAATATAATTTATAAAATATAAATACACATAATACACATAATAACTTAAAAAAATATGTATAAATACATATACCCACACAATTAATGCATTCATAATTGCTAATCTTGTTTCTACCAAAATGCATTCACACTTTGGAGAGAAAATTTTGTGGCTAGATTCTGTTTTATTATATATAAAGATTATTATTATTAGGGAAAATGATCAAATAGACCCATAAACTTTACACAAAAAAATCAATTAGGACCCTGGCTAAACTTTACAAATGTGCAACTCAACTCTTAACCATGTTATTTTCGTGCAACTAAATCCACTAGCTAACCGGTTACCAACCTATTATAGGTGGTCATTCCTATTCCGACAAAAAATATGACAAATCTCCAACCACAATCATTTCTGATCGCCTTCTCCCGGGGAAGGTTACCATTCGGTCGTCTTATCCGGAGAAGGCGACATTTTCTGGTCGACTTCGCCAGAGAAGGCGCCCATTTGGTCAATGATCCATTTTTTCGGTAAAATTTATCCGAGACGAGACGGATCATAAATAAATGATGGTCAACGACAAAAAATGGTAGTCAATGACATAATTTTATGATAATCCGTTAGTTACCGATTAATTTGTCTTATTTGACAAAAACTAACATGTTTGATGGTAGTCCTTATTGTATACAATTTTCCCTCAATTGTATATATACTTTTCACTTATGTAATGAAGTGGGCGGACTTTTGCATTTCCTGAATTCCTCCTATATATCCTACTTTCTCTCTTAGTCACTATATTGTTCTTTGGCATACAATTACCGATAGAATTGTAAAGTATTTAGGGAAGGAAACTCAATATCTTATTGTCATGCATAGGCTTTTATACAAAGAATTATACATAGATGAAAGGTAACCATGTAATTACAGTAACAACCACAGAGAATAGTTCAAATAAGAAACTAAATAATAGTAACTAACCAACACTAACATTAAGCTTTATCACGCCCCCGCAAGATGGAGGACCCATCGAAGACTCCAAGCTTGGACCGGAAGTATCGAAATAAAGTTCTGCCCAGAGGCTTTGTTAACACATTGGCAATTTGATCCTTCGTTCGAATATGTAGAACATGCAAAGTTCCGTCGGCAACATAATCACGAACAAAAAAATAATCCAATGCCAAATCCACCAACAAATTTTGAATCCAAATTACCTCAGCTGCGGTATTCACCAATGCCCTGTATTCAGCTTCGGTGGAGGACCGAGCAACGGATTTTTGACGCACCGACCTCCATGAGATAATATTGCAGCCCAAGTAAATGACATAGCCAGTAGTAGACTTCCCGCCGTCATGAACACCGCCCCAGTCAGAATCAGAGTAAGCTGTTAAAACCAAGGGAGTCCCTCTCCGCAAAAATAGTCCGTGAAACGTAGTGCCCTTGAGATACCATAAGACACGCTTCACGGCCTGCCATTGATGCTCCGTTGGAGAATGCATAAACTGTGCCAAGCGATTTACTGTAAAACTCAAGTCCGGTCGTGTTATTGATAAATACTGTAACAAACCGACCACACGCCGATAGACCATAGAATCACTTGGTGATGAATTAGCATCTTCATGGAGGTCTGCTTTTGGACCTGCGGGCGTGTGAACTGGTTTTGCATCACCCATTTTTGTTTGTTGTAGAATGTCTGCAATATACTGGGCTTTGGATAAAAATATACCAGATGAAGTAGAGACTACTTCAACACCAAGAAAATGATGGAGCATTCCCAAATCTTTAATAGAGAACGTGTGCCCCAATCGTGCAAAAAAATAATCCAAATATTTTGTGTTGTTTCCTGTTAAAACCACGTCATCCACATAAACCATCAAATAAGCCAATACACCGTTAGTCTGATAAATAAATAAAGAGTAATTTGCTTGAGACTTTCTAAAACCAAATTCTATCAAAAAACCAGACAACTCCAGGTACCATGCCCGGGGTGCTTGTTTGAGTCCGTATAAAGCCTTCTTCGAATGACATACATGCGTGGGTCGCTGCGGATCATAATACCCAGAGGCTGGACTATGTAGACTTTTTCATGCATAGTCCCATGCAAAAATGCATTATTCACATCCAATTGTCTCAAAGGCCAATTATGGCACAATGCTAATGAAAGGATAATGCGAATGGTTGCTGGTTTTGTCACAGGACTAAACATATCGAAATAATCTCGTCCATGTTCCTGCAAATAACCCTTTGCCACCAGGCGCGCCTTATAACGGTCAACTGAGCCATCAGGTTTACGTTTAACTCGGAACACCCATTTACAACCAATCGTTTTTTTATCAGTTCTTGGAACCAGCTCCCAGGTGTCATTTTTTATAAGTGCATGATATTCATCACCCATGGCTTGACGCCAGAGTGGGTCTGATTTTGCTTGAGCAATAGACGACGGCTCAAGAGTGGTTGATATTGGATGACAGAGCAGTGGTAACATTCACAAATTTGTCATTGACGTATTTGGGATTGTGACGACGGATACGGGTTGAGCGACGTGGAGGTGGGTTGTTAGCCTGAGGTATTTGTAAATCTGTAGATGACTCAAACTCGCCAGAGATAGCATCTAGCATGGTAGGTAGCATAGGTGAATGTTGGGGACTTTGGTTGGGAGGATGAATGGGACTACTAGTTTGAGAGGGTGTAGGTGTGTTGCGTTGTAATAGTGACATAGGCGCTACAGGAATCGGGGTATTAATTGGAGTGGTATTTGCAAGCACATGTGGATTTAATACACCATTGGAGCTCTCAGAAGGACCTGCAGGGGAAGAACTGTGACATGACGATGTTAATGCATGAAAAGGAAACACATCATCTATAAACTGAACATGACGGGAGAGATAAACCCGAGCAGTACTAGGATCAAGACACTTGTATGCTGATTGAGAAGTAGAATACACCAAAAACACATAAGATTTTGAGCGAGGGTGAACCTTTGTTTTTGTGTAGGGACGTAACCACGGATAACACAAACACCCAAATGGTTTTAGTTTTTCATATTTGGTGTGGTGTTGAACAGAACTTGGAAGGGTGTTTTATTATGTAAGACAGGAGTAGGCAAACGATTTACCAAGTAGACTGCTGTTTGGAATGCATACGACCAATAACTTATTGACATCAATGCAAAGTGAAGTAACGACAAACCAACTTCTACTATATGTCTGTGGCGTCGTTTTGCAGTCCCATTATGTTTAGGTGTATGAGGGGGACTGGTGAGATGAGATATTCCACATGCATTTAATAATGGAATTAGTTTTTGAAACTCTCCCCCATATTCTGAGAACATAGAGATAATTTTGTGATCTAAACGTTTTTCGACTAATTTCTTGAACTGGGAAAAGACAATGTATACATCAGATTTATTTTTTAGTGGATATAGCCATATATACTTGCTATAATAATCCACAAAGATAACATAGTAAAAGTACCCCTCAACAAATCTTTGTGTAGAACTCCAAACATCAGTATAAACCAATTCCAAAGGTTTAGTGCTGACCAAGGAATTTTCAGAAAATGGCAACTTATGACTTTTATGAAGCGAACATGAGGGACAATGGAAGCTACTGACTGAATCCAAAGTAACATTATTATTTTTCAAGACATTGGCAAGAACCTTATTTGACGGATGACCTAAGACATGGTGCCAATTAGCAACTGTTGTTTTAACTGCAGTGTTAACTTGCGGAGGACAACTCAATGGAGCACAATACACGTCATGTACGTTCTTCCCCCGCATTAGAGGCGCCCACGTTAACTGATCCTTCACAAGAAAATAAGAAGGAAAAAATTCAACAGAGACATTATTAGTTTTGCTGCTGCCATGACTGGCGAATTTCTCCGTCCAGGTCGATAAGAATTTTGATGCTGCCATGACTGGCGAAATGGAGCAGAACTCATATCATTTTGTTGGTTATCGGCAACTTTGTTTGAATTGAAGTTGGACCTACTGGGTTGAGTTCTCCGGTTTTGTTTTTTGGTGACATTAGCAGTAGCAAGCAACGTCTGTCTAGCTTCAACATTATCTTTGTGTTGGCGCTCATGATCGGTGAGAACATCAAAAAGTTCAGCAAAGGAAATAGGCTTCGGGCGTACACGAAGAGCGGACACCAATGAATCATATTCTTCTCCTAGCTGTGTCATGATATGTACCACCAAATCTTCTTCGCCAATAGGGCTCTGTGCTAACGCAAGTACATCTGCAATTGAACGCATTTCCTGCATATACTCAATAACAGGACGCCCACCTAGCGAATTTTTGGCTAATTTTGCTTTAAGGGATACAATACGGGAACGAGATGAACTAGCATAACTAGTAGTCAAACGTGTAACACCCCAGATTTTCAGGACATTTAAAACTTATAAAATAAAGGTGAAATCTCATTAATTCCCAAAAACGTAACATAAAGAGTACGGGGTGCTATGCCACACCTGAGCTAGAGAACTCAGGTGCACAGGCCAACTAACTAATGTCCTTAATAAAGTAAATGCATAACATGGCACACAAGCCGAAAGGGAAACTATCTACTTCTACGCTCCAAGATCTAGCGCGCTCCAGTGACTTATTCTTCTGTGCCTGAAAGCCAAATATATCTGTTCAGCGAGAGATGCTGGTAACCCACTCCAACGCGTTGAAATACAATACATACATACATATATATATATATATATATATATATATATATATATATATATGCATAGATATATGAAAAGTCATTTCGAAGCATGAAGATATATCCTAAGAGACTCTAACTTTCAAATCAGGGAACCGACTCGACAAATAGGGGTACACACAATCTACAGTCATAACCAAGTATATACGATTCTCGACATAGGGCACAGTTATAGATAAACACAACCAATAATCACAATTAAACATGTATAGTTTACTAGCAAGAATCCTATGGTCACGTTTCCATAACAGTCACAACATCAATCCTTCTTATCTCATCATATAGCACACTTTGTTGGCGCCACAGGACCAATCGCATACCCATACATGAGGGTCAGCGCATATAGCTCTGACACGGCCCCGCAGCACCCTGCCCCGTCTCACAATACGGAGGGGTCGATCGCAACCGACCGATGAACCGCAGCTCTATATAATATTTATATACCTGACCGGTCTTTACCAGCCTGGTTAACAGTTAGGATGGTTCTCAACCCATTAACTGCCCGTATAGTGGACCTCTGTCCTATATAATATTTATATACCTGACCGGTCTCTACCAGCCTGGTTAACAGTTGGGATGGTTCTCAACCCATTCAACTGCCCGTATAGTGGACCTCAGTCCTATGTAATATTTATATACCTGACCGGTCTCTACCAGCCTGGTTAACAGCCGGTATGGTTCTCAGCCCATCCGACTGCCCGTATAGCCCGATTGATCTCAACCACATTGGGGTAACATGCACACATAACACATAGCAAGCACATACAACCCACATTAACACATTGGGAAAGGGGAGAAATCGTATAACGAACCTATACATGGTTACCCACAACTAAGAATAGCCCTAAGGGGTTCATATACTTCTTATACCTAGGCCAATGGGGTACCAATCCAACTAGCATGCAGTATATAAGACTCATTCGACCTACGAACGGTACCCGAACATCAAACTAGACATAGGCACGACGGGAGGGATCCGTTAGGACACCACGGGGGTCGGGGGAACATCAAACGGGGAAGCCGGGATCCCAAAGTGTGGGAATTTCCAGCGGGTAGCCGGTGGGTGGGGGTTCACCCGCCGGCTGCCCGCCGACGTTACTGTTCCGGGTAGCGGGTGCCCGGTGGGCAGCTGCCCGCCCGCCGGCTGCCCGCTGCCCTCCTTGGCCGCGGGTAGGTGGCGGGTCCCCTACCCCCTCCTACCCCCCACTGACTCTTTTTCATTAAAAACGCCCCGGGAACCTTTGTGGAACCCGAAATCATGCTTAGACACTTTCAAACGCAACCAACAACAACACGTAGACAATTAATAGATCGAAATCAAGAAACATACGGCACATAACCTATCATGCTTTCCCAACATAATCAATCCCCAAAACATGCGAACTCCCACCCAACATATCAAGAACAATACCATACGAATTCCACAATACAACCTAGGGTTCTAATCACTTTTAAATCAACAAGAACGCGATTCATCTTTTAATATCGAGACTCGGTGGGAAAGGCACATAAGCATCAAGAACATCATGTAATCATCAAGAACATCACATAATCATCAAGAACATCAAGAACACCATTTAATCATCAAGAACCTATCAAGATCACCCATGGAATTATAACACCAATTATCAAGATCATTATAACGAATCACCAATTGCACAAGAATATGGGGGAAATCCTAAGAGGGGAAACATAGCTATGAAAATAGGTTTTGTTGAGACATGGGTTACCTCTTAGCCTTAATTAATTCCTTGGCTATGAAGGGTCTTTCTTTAAGCTTTCTTGCTTTCTTGATTTCTTCTAAGGGAATTGTTGGAACTCTTTGGGTGGTGAGAGATTATTGTGGTGGGGGTTCTAGGTGCCTCTTATGTCCCCTATTTATATTCTTAGGAGTCCTAATTATGGTCTAGTATAATGGGCTTGCTAATTCTATTCCTTTTAGTGCTAGGGTTAGGTTTTAGGGGTAGGGGCCCACGGACTATGGTGGGCCTCTTCTAAATTAATTATTGTAATTCAATCCTGTCTTTGGGCAATTGATTAAACGATTTAATTGGTTTTAGGGGTCGTAACACGGGGTGTTACACTCTCCCCCCTTACAAGGGGCTTCGTCCCCGAAGCCCGGTGTGTCGATCCATTCCTTCACCCCTAGACATCCCGCATCTTGGCCTCCTGGTTAGGAATGTGGCCCCACGTTTTGTCTTAGCTGGGGTAGACTGGACTCTTGGTGGTGTTGTGATAGGGGAGTTTGTGTCTACCTTGGTTTCCTGTTCCGGAACTGGATGCCCCGCGTGTGCCCAAGGTGGCCTCGATTGCCGCCACCCTCTGGTCCAGTGCGCGTGTCGTACGGATCAAGGTCGAGAACCCTTCCTCCATGATTTGGTTTTGCCGGTTGAGTTGTGCTAGGATGCGTTCGTTGATCGAGCACTCGTTTTGCCCTCTTGGGTTCCCTCCCGATTGTGGGTGCACCGACGGGTTAGGCTCGTCATCCCCTTCCTGATCCTCATTTCCCTCCGGGATACCACAGTCTTGCATTCCCCGTTTAAGCTTCTTGTTGGAGATGTCTAGTTGGTCGACCAATTCTCTTCGTTCCTCCTTGGGTTTTTGGCAAATTTCTTCGAGGGTGAGGTAATGTCCCCTGACGAGCATATTTTACACTCATATTTTAGGTACATCTTTATAA